TTCTTCTTCTTCTTCTTCTTCTTCTTCTTTTCTTCTTCCTCTCTCTCTCTCTCTCTCTCTCTCTCTCTCTCTCTCTCTCTCTCTGTCTCTCTCTTTAGAACTAGGGATTGAACTCAATTACATTTCTTTTATATAGGTCTGCTTTGTCTTGGTCTTATCCATCCAGCAGAGCAGTATAAAAAGTAAAGCCATATTAATATGCTGAGTTGTGAAAGGCTCAAGTCAACAACTTCTGACATTACCAGTCCTGTGGATAACCCACTACTATCATGGACTACTGGAGTATAGTGGATTATTTTGCTGAATTCACATACCTACAATATTTAAATGGCAATGGAATGCCCATCTCTGACAAAACTAAACAAAAAAAGGGGATACAAATGAAGAACCATTTTTTATCTGTATATACAAAAAAGTTAGGATAGGTATACAGTTACTTTCTCTTAATACAATGAGAAGAAAGATTTGTACTAATAGTGTTTGGACAGGACAGCATGTCTGCATCTTGTACTATGAATAGCTACTATGAAGGCAACAATATGCAATGAATTAATTACTGAAACTGTCCTACTTAAAAGAAAAAAAAAGCTAAGGGCCAGCCAAATAGCTTAGGGCTGGCCAAATAGCTCACCAGATTAAAGCACCTGCTTAGGCAGACACATCAACTAGTGTTCAATCCCCGGGCCTCTGAGAGAGTGATTGAGACTGGGCCTGGTGGTGCATACCTATCATCCTAGTGCTTGGGAGGCTGAACACAGGAGAATCACTACAAGTACCTTGTAGACCCTTACTAAAATACAAAAAATATATAAAATAAATAAAAAGCAGAGGGAGTGCCAAAAATAAAACACTGGATTTTGTTGTGTGACACATTTCTCATACCTGAGATTGGAATACAGTTAAATGAATAAAGTCTCATTCATTTGGCAGAGCAAAATTATGTAAGCACACATAAACATCAATCAAACTTTACATGGAAAAGCAAATTCGTAAGCTTATTGCAAATAAAACAGTGCTGAGTTAGGTTGTAGACTTTAGGACAGATTTTTAATGGCCGTGTTTCTGTATAACGTTGCATTTATCAAAGAATATTAGTTCTGTATATCTCTGGGGGATATATTTATAAACAGCATGTATTAAGCAAAAGATTATTATCTTTAAACTTATTATACTCACAATATTTTATTTTTACTACCTAATATTTAAATTTAGTTTTTTATAGTATCAGTCAATTACTAGAAAGCCTGTGACATATTTTAAACAAAACAGTCATTAAAAAGGTTGTTTCATTTGAAGTTATCATCTTTAATAAAATGATCAAGATGATCATAAAAGTTATGTCAGCATATATTAATTTAATGAAACACCAAAAATAGAGAGGTGCTTAAGTATTTCAGAAACATCAGTATTCACCTTTTTCTCTCTGTACTCTTACCCTCTTTGTAATGTTCATCTGCTTCAAATTTGATGCAATCCAAATTTTTATGTCTATACTCTGCTTTACACTGTAGTCATAAATCTAACTGGCTACTGAACATGCTTTTTATTAATTTTATTGGATATATATATGCATATATATCATATTCATCATAGGCAACGTGTACCTGTATATGATACATCTTGATTCCTCTTTTTTTCCTCTCTCCCCCCTCCCTTCATCGGCTCTTCCCCTCCTTGTTTCCAAAGCTTTGTTTCCATCTGGATGTCTAGTATACTTTTCAGATGCACCTATCAAAGACAGATTGCTCATGCCCCATCCCTACAGCGGTCTTGCATTTCTTGTTGAAGTTAATCCATGCTTTCTGTTTTCAAGTCAGTATATTAGGTTCATCTTTTATTCTCCCACTTGTATATTATTGTAATAGTTTTCTGTGCCTATTTTTGATCTGTATATTCAAGCTAGTAGCAATCAGGACTATTTATTTAAAAGTGTACCTTGAATTAATGTAATTGTCTTATGCAATGTATGTGTTGTTTGCCTCAGTCTGCCTTTTATCTGTATATATAATAATTAACTTTATAAGGTCCTAAAAGTGAATCTGCTGCTGGCAAAATGAAAGGGGTGGAGCAAAGGGGAAGAAAGAAATGTGTTACGTATCTGCAGCAGCTCCCTACAATGAATGGAATTATTACATACTGCAAGAATATACTAGCCACAGTCAGAAAATTAAAACACAGAGTTGAATTGCTCAAGTATTTCTTGAGCACGTTGGCCTTTTTCGGGCCATGATCTTCGCTGCCAGGCAGTCTGTGAGTGCAAGTAAAACGTTCTCCCAAGACTGCATTTTCATTTCTTCCTCCAACCTGGTGATCCCAGAAGAATCACAGTTTATCCAGAGCCTGTAAAATCATGTTTCTCTGTCCCATCAGCAGAGGACCATGCAATTCATATTCACACATCTAGGACAGATTGATGGAGCAGGCATATGAGTTTGAAGAGTAAGTACACAGATGCTAGATAAGGGTCCAGCATTCCTACTTTCTTTACAATCTAGGCCAGAATCAGGTGGACAGAGGCTGCATGCTGGGGCCATTTTTTTCTACATCATACCATAGTCCTAAGGAGCCCCAAACTGCAACCATAAAGCTCAGTGAAAGTAGAAAGAGAAAACATTTTAGGTAACAATTCCCATTCAGTTTACAATAATTCTATTGTAAAGAAAATGTTGGGGCCAGAGAGATGGCTCAGTGGGATAAGAGCTTTCCCTGGCAAATGCAAGGGCCTGAGTTCCATCTCCGGTTCCGAAAAAAAAAGAAAAGAAAATGTTTATGAGCAAAAAAAGTTACTAACAGTTGTGCACTGTTTATACACAGAAATCTTTGTAGCTTTTCATTGATAGTGGCTTGCCCTTTGGCATGGCTTCTGGATCACATATTAGCAGGACTTCACTATGTGAGATAGACTTGATCCATGAACAATACTGAATATTGAAAATGATCAATTTTAATACAGACATAGACTATTACAGATTCCATCTACAGTCTTTCCGGGGCCTCACAATTATTACAGTTGTGCATGCTGCAATGATCACCCAGATTAGTAGAAAGCTAGTAGAACAAGAACAGCAAAGGAAGAGATGTCTAAATGACTCAGAGTCGACGTCGGTTAGGAACCGTGAGCCACCGCGGGCGGGCACTGCGGACAGAGTGCCATGGAGTACAGAGATGGATGCTTAGCACGCACAGGCTCCAGAGGCGTGCCCTTGCGGACGCCACAGCTCACGTGATGTCTCTCTTTGCCATAGGAGTTGACTCGGGAGCACCATTATTTCTTCAGTGTTTCCCTACAGGCTCAATTACTCACTTTTGGAGTTTTTTTTTTTATTATCATTCATTTATTTATTTGATACAGGGTCTCACTATGCAATTTGGAGTGGTAGTGACCCTCCTGTCCCAGCTTCCCCAGACCTGGCATTACAGGTGTGTGCTGCCAGACCCCGTTGTGGTGGCCAGCATGGCTCCCTCATTGTTCTGGGCTGGCATAACCCAGCATGGCATGTGGTACCTGGGATCAAACTTGGGTCCTTGAGCTTGCCAGGCAGGTGCTTAGACTGCCAAGCTATCTCCCCACTCAAACTTTTTCAGTTCTTAGAATGTAGACAGAAAAGTATCCTGGGACCATACAATCTCAAAAGTAAAATGTTGTCATTATAAAAGATAAAAGTAATTTTATAAAACTAATTTATCATTTAACTTCAATGTTTGAATTATTAACTGCTTCAGGTTGCAATGATAGCTATAAATTAAATTTTGAAGATAGAGGATGGGGACAAGGGCCCTGATTTCAATCTCTGGTTCCAAAAAAAAAAAAAAGTCTTTCCCTGGAATATGCCAATGCCAAAACAGTCATCAGTTTTCTTGTCATTCCTTTAACCTCATTTAGCAAGTGACTCTTCCTACAAAAAACTGTAAAACACCATTGGTTTATACCAGGGAGGTCGAGCTATGTGGATGCTTCTGGGAGACAGAATACAGATACAGCACTCACGCAAAAGAAATGCTTTATAAGAAAGAAGCAACGTTAAAGAGCAAGTGTGCAGACTTTCTTAGGTGGGGAATTCTCTCTGGTTATTAATTGATACAGATATGCTACTTGGCACGTACTTTAGACCAAACTTTAGCAGAAGCTGCAAATAAACATACAAAAGCTAAGGGCTCTAGTACATGTGATAGGTTAGATCCAAGAATAATACTGAACACAGAAGCTCGAGCAATAACTAAGAGGACGCTCCAAATAGGCCCAGTCATAAAAATTTATATGTGTAGAATAACTAAGAAGAACTTTGCATTCACATGTTAATGAATATATGCTTGTATTATTTTCAAAGGAAGTATAGGTTTCATTCTAGAGACTGTATTAAACTATTCTTAGAAATACTTTTGCTACCTTTATAAAGAGTCACAGTAAGAACAACAGTTATTCTTTGTAAAGATTTTGGGT